AAATTCTGAGCCATGTTTAGATTTCACCAGTAACATGGATTCTTTTTTTCCTCCTAGGGAAAAAAAAAAGCCAATTCCCTCATATTCATCCTCATCTACGTGTGGCTTCGTGGAAGTTGGAGATGGCATGGGGGAGGGGCGCCGAGCTTGGAGTTGCAAGGGGTTCTGACCTAGCTCTACTCCATCCAACGTGTGTGGTCAGCAGGCAGCTAACGCCTTTCTCGCCTACGCCATGGGGGCTGCCTCAGAATAGTGCCTGAGACCAGGACAAGGATACACATCATTTATCTGGGAGGTGCCCCGAAGTGCTGGGATACAGGCGTGGGGACCTGAGACTGGGAAGGGAAGGAGCACAAGGTGTATCTGGGAGAGCAACTGAGGCTCAGTCCCACTGGGGACCTCTGGGAGATTGAGAAGAACATACCTTGGAGAGAGAGGGGAAAGGATGCCAGGTTACTGACTCCCTGCTTCCCATGCACCCCTGGCTCTGGGCTGCCCTGCTAGTGTGAGCTCCCGGATACCTGGCCTGTTTCTCACATAGGTCAGGAGTTGTGGGGCTACCTGGCCTGTTTCTCACATAGATCAGGAGTTGTGGCTCTTCTTACTAAGAGTTTGTTCTGGGAGGTGGATGCTCAGGGGGTACGGGTGGGCCACTGACAAAATCTGCACCACATTTACCCAAGTGAGGGATCTAAGAAACCTTGAAAACAGACTAGAGGAGAGAAGCCAGGCATAAGGAAGATCATTCTTAGAACCCTCCTTGGATTTAAAATGACTTGACCTCTGGAGGGCATGTGGGCATTATTTTAGAACAGTTTTTTTTTTTTTTTTTTTTTTTTAAGATTTATTTATTTATTTATACAAGCACTGGGTACAGTCAGAAGCGCGGGAGGGTGAGAGAATTAACCAGAGCCTGAGCAGGGAGCAGAGCAGGTAGAGGGACGGAAGTACACTGCTGAGGGGAGCAGCAGGTGGCAGGAGAGGTCTAAGCACCATGTGGGACCCTCCTCTGGAGGCCGGGGAGCAGCCGGGGATCAAACAGGCACCGCAGAGGCTGCGGGCAGCTTCGCAACCCAGTGCTCAACTGCTGCGCCACCGGGGAGGCACTAGAACAGCTTTTTTTAACCAGCACTCCTAGGTGTGCAAAAAGGACAGTTTCTACAGTCTGGAACAGCATTAGCTTTGGTTCACATTTCTGTTGTCAAGGCTTAACTACTGTTTGCCAGACATGCTACCTTGAAGCAGGTTACCAAAAGTCACGAGTCAATGAAAATGTTCTTAAATTTCCACCAGCCATGTCATTAACCAATTCAGTAAGCGTCCCCAGCGGTGCCAGGACCCAGGCAGCATGCTAGCAATGTGATGAGCTTCCCTGCGCTTGCAAGTTTATAGAGCCACATTTCACTTGCCCACACTCCTGCCCCAGCAGTGTCCCATTTTCCAGAGTGGGAGACTGGGGTTTAGGAGGATGAGGGACTTGCCCAAGGTCACACTGTTGTGAAACTTCAGAGCAAACACTGGAATCCAGGTATTTTGCCATCAAATTAATTCAATCAACTTGGACTGGGGCCTACCGACTGCTAGGCGCTTGCGGTGCCAACCCTGCAGCCTCAGAATCCTGGAGTGCAGAAGGACGTGGCTTCCTGTCTTCTCTTTTAGTCTTCTTCCCAAAGCCGCCTCCTGTTTCAACTCATTTGTGTTGTAGCTTTGCAAAGGAGTCTATAGAGCCTCCTACAAAAGCGTTTAGAAGATTCTAGCAGCTTTGTGCAAATGAGAAGCTCAAGTGTCTCAGGAGGTCTTCAGAGGAAGGGTGGGATGGGCCCACTTCCAAGATCCCAGGCTGTCTGGGGGTGAGTCCAGGACCAGACCCTGAAAAGGGAGCCCCTCCTGCTGCTGGGCTGTGAGTCAGCTCTGTCATGAGCACTGCTGTGCCACTGTCCCCTCTAAATAGAGGGCAGGAGGTTAGGGTGAGACAAATAGACACCAAGAGAGAGGGAGTGAAGGGCGCAGCAGAAAGCAACACAGTGACCCCATTTAGAAGCTTCATGAGGCAATTTATGAACCATTAACCCCAAGGTGGGGGAGAGGCCTACCCTCTGGGTCAATTCCTGGAAGGTCCCAGAAAACAAAATCTGGACCAGCCCACAGTGAGTCAGGTCTTACTCCAGACAAATTATTTCCCCTGCCTGGGCCTCAGTTTCCCTCTGTGAAATGAGATGGTAACCAGAAGCCCTTCCAACTTGGGCAGCTTATTCAATAATTCAGGGCCCCTCCATCTGGGCAGACAAAGCAACTCTGAGAGCCTTTGAACTTGGCTCTGTTGTGCTGGTTTGAACATGGCCCTAGCACTCCAGTGGCTCAGTTCAGTCCTCAAATAACACAGCATCCCTCTGTCAACAAGATCAATCTCTTCTGAAAACATATAAAGATGAGTATCTGCAAGTCCAGCTGTGACGTTCAATAAAAGTTGGACACAGATGGGGCAAAGGGAAGACTCTCGAGTATGGGTGTGTGGAAACTGCTGGCACTCTGGAGGTGGCGAGAGGTGGACAGGGAAGCAACTTTGTGCAAATGAGAAGCTGTCTCAGCTTTGCCACTGCCCAGCCGTGTGTCCCTGAGGGGAACACCTCTTCCCTGGGGCTTCAGTTTCCCCATTTATACCACCAAGTTATGGGACATTCATTAAAGATGATCATCATTAAAGATGATCTCATCATCTTTAATGCCCTCCCCATCTGATATCCTGCATATCATTAAATGTGGAGGGAGCTCTCAGGGGTAGGCAGACAAAAAGGCAACAGAGGGTCACAATATACCAAGAAAAACTGGATTTGTTTCAAAAAAAGTCTCATGATTTTTGAAAAAGTATGACTCATAATTGCTACTACTTGTTGAACAAAAATATATATGCACTTATTTTTTTTTTAAATGAGGTTTCTTTTTTTTAGATTTATTTTTATTTATACAAGAACTGGGGTGTAGGCCAGAGGCATGGGAGGGTGAGAAGATTCACTAGAGACAGAGTAGGGAGCAGAAAAGGCAGACGTACTGAAAACACTGCTGAGGGGAGCAGTGGGCAAGACAGGAGACGTCTGCTGTGCCATGTGGGAATCTCTCTGGCCGGCCGGGAATTGAACTTGCACTGCAGAGGCTGCGGACAGCTTCATGGCACTGCACTCAACCTGCTGCGCCACCGGGGAGGCCCTGCCCTTATGATATGTGTTACATCATCTAGTTCTTCCCACATCTCAGGTGGGTAGGTGGGATTATATTCTTATTTTACAGATGAAGACAACTGAGGCTCAGAGAGGCTGAGTCACTTGCCCTAAGGTCTATAAACTTGAGCTCAGACACACCTCTCAGCTACTGTTTGCTACGCTGCTATCCTTATAAAGCCAGATATGGCTAAAAACTGATCACTGGAGTTGGTATCTAGTCCTCACATACAAAGAGAGAAAAAGGCAATAAATATGGCATGCATCTGTAGCTGTGATCGGCCAATCAATATTTTACAAAATATTCCCCTAGAATGATATAATTTGAGAACTGGAAATGTGACAAGAGAATTTAGTTGCAATCATTCAAATAATAATAAAAAAAAGAATAAGTATCTTTGCCAAGGCTTACTTTGTTCAACCAATGAAGAAGTAAGACTTAACAAATGGGGAAATAATTACGTTTGCCCAAAATTACATCTTTTGTGCACGCCAGAGAGCTGACATGCGTTTCAATTACCTGCCATGGAAAGACAAATGGGGAAATCTACGAGATTGCATTTCGGAGCTATGGTCCCGAAGAACACCTCTCCTGATTGATCTGAATTTGGTTGGGATTTGTCTGAATGAATCTGAATAACTCCATTTCATCTCCTGCTTCCCCCTGCATGGCTTTAGGCTCTGCTCAAAGTGAGGAGTCACAGAAGCACTGCTCTTCTTGCTGAATTTTCCAGAAACAACAAGATGCTGAAAACCACTGCACTGATGAATGTTCTCTCTAGTGGTTTCTGTTAATAGCCTTGCTCCTGACACGACTGGCTGACTTGGGGTGTCCACCTGGAGGAAAGCCCGGCCCTGCTCTTCACCGGGACCCGGGGGCTCTGACGAGTCACTCTCCTCCCTGGGACTCTGTTTTATCTTCATCTTACAAATTACTTGGTCTGGGGGATTGCTGAGACCCCCTTCCAACTCTGACAGCATAAAAGTCCAACACAAGACTTGGTTTTCTAAAGAAATAAATGGCCTATAAAAAGTGTGTGTGTGTGATAATTGTCGATTCAAAGAGACTGAAGAGACACATCAGCCAGATGCAATGAGCAGACCTCGTGTGGATTCTCCACCAACCTGGCAGCAGAGACATTTTTGAGCTAATCAGAGGATCAATACAGACAGGGGATGAAAGGATATTAAGAACTGTTGTCCAATGTTTCAGGCGTGATAACACAGTGGTTATGTTTTTAAAAGTCCTTATCAGGTAGAAATGCATACGATAGTATTTATAGATTGAAATGAGATAATGTCTGGAAGTGGCTTTGAAACATTACCCGAACAGGGTGAGGAAAGATAAAGCAAAATCGGCACTACGTTGATAAGGGTTGGAGCCAGGTGATGAGTACGTGGGCTTCATTATGAGAGTCACTCAGCTTCAGAGTTTGACAATTTCTACAGTCAAAACCAAAACAATGCAATTTCTACAACCCAAACCAAGAACAATGCAAGTTTCTCAGACTGTTGGAACTGACTTAACTGCCACCCCCTACACTTTCAGGAACCTCTCAGAATCATGTGGGCAGGCTGAACAGGCCTGGGAAGCAATGTAGTTGAGAAAAATACACTAAATTAGTTGAAACTAATGTTTTCAGCGAGAAGTGTTTTCTATTGAATCTGTCTTCTCTTATCTGGAACATCATACTTTCATTTCTTTTGATGCATGTTATTGCATAAACACAACATCTCTGAATACAGAATTCATCAACCAGAAAGAATAAGCATCAAAAAGCCTACCTTGAAATTGAGTAAATTTAATGGTTCCCATTCTCTCCCCATTCCGGAATACAACTTGACCCTAAAAACAAAACAAAACAAGAACAAAGGGAGAAATGCCATATTAGCCCAGACAGTACCGACTTCAATGGAAATTCATTAATTGTAAGATGTGATTATTAATATTGGAGAAAAAAATAGACTCCGGCTGGACCACACATGCAAAATTAAAGTAATTGTTTCTAAGCTGCTTATGACATTATCTGGTTAATTTGAAAAAGCACAAAATCAGTAATGGAGCTAATACACATGAATTAAAGCCAAGATATGCAAATCATTATCATTATGACTATTTATTAAACACCCACGTGTCCCGCTTTGTCTGGGGAGAGTCTTCCAGGGTGCTGGATGAAGGTGAAGGCAGAGATGTAGTGTCTGGGGCCTGGCCTGACTCTCTTCCCAGGCTCCCACCCATAAAGATGTGAGGCTCTGCTGAGGCTGTATGACTTGAGATCAGAACGGGATAGAAGGTCAGTTAGTATTTCTTATTAAGGACAGAGAATGCTGTAAAAAGTTCTTTCTGAGTGGTGACGTCAGCCCCAATTATAATTGGGCCGTGGAGCAGCACAAAATTAAGCTTCTTGAACCAGTGAGACCTGACCAGTGTCACAGGCAGCTGAGCACCCCTCATTAGGGACCCCGGGGTCAAAAGATAGCGTCATCTGTCACATCTGCTTTGCTGGCTGATACCAGGCTCCCATATGCTGGGCTAAATAAACTGGGGTATAAAGAGAGGGTGTGTGGTCTCTTCTTGTCATTTTATGGCCCAACTAGAACTTCTACAACAATGAAAGGAAAATGACATATCGTGAATCTTTATGACAAGGTTGAGTAGAAAGGGAGGATGATCCTGATTTTATAGCTCAAGAAACTAAGACTGAGGTTATGCACTATATATAAGGTCATTGGGAGTGAGGCTGCTGGATTCAAGTCCAAGTTTGATTTTAATGCATTGTCACTACAGCATGCTGTTTCCCACCCAGAAACAGAACCCTTTCTACCTTTCCATTAACATGAAATTAGAGATAAAAATTGTTGTAAAGGCACCCTGCTTTCCTCTCCACAGTTATGCTCATGTATCCTTAGATAATAGGATTGAGACAAGGGGGCTACTTTGGATCCCGTTCAGTTCTCTGGAGAAAGCACCATAATCTCTTTCCCCCTGGTGGAAACCCGTCGTCTGAAGCCTTGCAGCTTTCGTAATGAAGAGAACCACTCACCCAGTTCTCAAAATGAGAAACACCCTCTAAGGCCACTTTGACACCTTTTTGAAATCCTGAAAACAGCTGCAAGTAGTATCAGTTTGAAACCTCACGCCCACCAAATTCTATATTCAGGTGATGGTAAGCAATACCCTGGAGTGTGAAAACACTTCAGTGTAAGGTGAGACAGGAGCTGTGATTTTACTTCGAGGGATGATTGAAAAACACAGAACATCTTCCACAAGGATCACTTTTATGCAAATGGCTCACTTTGCATGGGTGGGAAAGAGGCAGACACTGTCCCCAAAGAAGGCATTTTGTGGTGTGACAAAGGTGAGGATCTAACTAATTCACCCCTCTCCTGCTAAGCTTTGAAGAATTCCAAGGACTTCCGCAACATCGTTATTAAATTAAAAAGTCTATGAAAAGGTATTCAAAGCTTGGCTGGATTGACACTGGAGATTATGGGGTGGGGGTGAGGACACCCCTTTTGCTTTTTAAACAAAAGTAGTTCACCTTTGATGTAAGAGCTGTCAGATTTTATTTTACTCACTATTTTCCCGAACAGTAGCTATTCCCAGCGCCTTAATTTCTCAGATAACACAGTGAAAGGAGACCAGTGTCCGAGCATCACAAACCTGGAAAAGCGCCCTCTCAGGCAAGTTCCTGAGTTATACATCGAGCAAGGTCCTGGTTTACAAGGGGAGAGTCTCAGTAGTCCTTTTAATTAAACCACATCTGATAATAGAGGGCTGAAATAAAAGAGATTTTAAGCACCAGAAAGCTTTTTATCCCTTGGCATGTTTCCATGTTACGTGATTTCAGCTGGCAAAGGGGTAAACTGTTGGGTCAAGGTGTCTCCACCTCTCAGAGATAGCAGCTCCCAGGTAACTGAGCCCCCCACCTCACCAGCCAAGGGGAGAAGGCTGAGCATTCTGTGACCGTGGTAACCGAGTCATGACAGACACACTCTAGTGGCAACCAGGTGCAGGGGGGGCAGGTAGAGGGGCTGGGAGGCTTGGGAGGCAACTGAGCCTCCCAGCCCCCCACAAATCTTTATTCTTTCACTAGGTTCTTTCTGGCATTCTCTCATGGTCTCGTTTCTTCTGTAGTCATGCCTCTCGTCCTCTCCTAGCTGTCCCCCATAGTCCTCATATCCCTGACCTCTAGGCTCAGGCGTGCACGCTTACACGTGCACACACCCATGCTCCAGGTGTCCACAATCTGGCACACGTGCCCTGCGCCCACTTCCAAGTGCCTTCTGCGTTAACACGATCAAAGCCACAGGTGACAACTATGGAAGCTAGTGGCACAAAGAGCCTGATTAATCCACTTACCCTACACACACGCAAGGGCAGTGCTATCCCGAGCGACGAGCTGGGAGACCACCACTTTGGGGGACACAGAGGTGCCATGTGAGTCCACCTGATGGACATACCACGGTGTCCCTGGGTTGATGATGAAGCCTGTTTTGCTCCTCTGACCATATGAGGTTGGGGCCACCGTCCCAGTTAAGCCCACCGTGGTAAGAAGGCCCAAGCTGAGCAGGTGCTTTTCATGAAATTCTGCCCCGAGGCTGTGCCCTCAATTCACATGAACTTCCACAAATGTCGACCTACACTGTGCCAGTACTGTCCCAGGAGTTGACTCCTGATCTTGGAGAGCTCGTATTTTATTAGGAGGGACAGACACATTTTCCAGTAGACGTACCAGAACATTTCAGTTAGTAATGAGTGCTGTGAGGAACATGAGAAGGGAGTATCTGGGCGAGCAGAGGGCATCTATTTGGTCAGGGAAGACCTCACAGGCAGGAGATAGTCCAGGCGAGAGGAAGAGCCAGGGTGAAGGCCCTCAGGTGGGCAGGAACAGAGGGGATCAGAGTATGGCATGCAGCGAGGGTGCTGGTAGGTAGGGGGCTGGGTCACATTGTCCTGGAGGCCAGGATGAGAGCTCTGGAGGTGATTCTAAGAGCACCAAGAGCCAGGGATGGGAGGTCAAGCATTGCAGAACAGTGATCTGATCTAAGACAGGAGAAGATGGCTCTGAGAGGGGATGGTGGTGCAGGGGAGTGGAAGCAGAGACTGGAGGCTCCCGCTGGTAATCCAGGTGTAAGGTGACAGTGGCTTAGCTGGGCTGGTGGCCAGTTTCACTGTCCTGCCGGCTCAGTGCACCACCAATGTGGATGAGCACTGGTGGAGCAGCAGTGGGCTTCCGCTCTACTCCTGGGGGTGGAGGGAACTGGGGGTGTTGCCCTAATGCTCCTTCATTTCCCCAATGGCTGGCATCTCAGTCCAGTTGCCCTGCACCATGGCTAGTTGTGTCACTTACGGCCCTGCCCCTTGCTGGGGGCAGCTTTCATGCAGGGATCAGGGATACATAGTGCTGGCCTGCTTGTCTTAACGCAGGACAATAGCTACAAGCCTGGCTTCCAGACGTCCCCAGGGGAAGGGCTGAGGCCAGATTGCAGCAGCACCGCATTCCACTTGTTCCTCCGCCCTAATGTCTTTACTTCCTCCGGGTTTAGTTCTGAGCACACTCCCTGATTACCTCCTGGATGCAAATCTTTGTGTCAGGTGTGTTTCCTAAGAAATCAGACCTAAGACATCTGCAATCAAAGATCACCAGGATTGAGTCTTTCTTGCAATATGAAGGAGCCTGAGTGACAGAGGACACTGAGTGAAGCCCATGTGGCAATCAGATCCCCCAGCTTCCTTGTGTCCTGGCATTTCAGCCAGGGAGGCTGGGCCAGCTTTGACTTCTAAAACCCCAGCTCGAGGGGCGGTTTTCCTTTGCTCTTCTCTCCACACGTATTCTTTACATATAAATGCTAACCCTCTGCTGTATTCAATCCCAGGCTGTAATAGCATCAGCACGTCCACTGGAGATCAACCCACGTGATGAACTAAATTTTCAGCCAGTGGACTTTGGTGGTTCTGGCTGGGTGGTGACTGACAGCTGTCACTGGTTCATGCTCTATGCTCAACTTCCCTATCCTGCTCTGGGGTGTAGGGGCCTGAAGCCTGGAAACCACATTTCCCAGAATCCCCTGCCAGCTGCTTTCCATTTAGGTTTTGCTAATGAGAAGCATTCATGGGACACATAAGGGAAGCATAAGTGTGCATAAGGGAAAAGTGATTTTTTTCCTGCTTTGGTTGCAACGGCAGGAGCTCTGAGTGACTGCAGGTGTCTGTGGGGCCCAGGGGCCCTGCACAGCTGGTGTGTGTGGATCGGGGGGGTGGAGGGAGGAGGCTCCTGCTGCCTTCTCAGTGGCCAGTGGTGGGGTCCCAGCTACAGCAGGAACAGCAGTGGCTGCAGCCCCAGAGGCCACCATGCTAGCTAGCAGTTTTACTTTCATGATTTTATTTGTATTCCAAATCTGCTCTGTGGCCATTCTTATAAACTCAGAAGCTAGAATCCATTATCAAACAGCATCCAGTCAAGAAAATGGAAACGACTTCAGGCATTTCAGAGGCAAGGGTAACACCATATCCCTCTCCATTCCTCCAGCCCCAGGGGCTTGGCAGCTTTCTGTAAATACTTATCTCTGGTGACAGCACCTACCTGCTTTGCTCCTCCATCCCTTCCAACAAACTCGTAACCAGTTTCCTGTATTAAATCTCCCTCTGAAATGCCTGAAGTGGTTCTGTTTTGACTGCATGCTGACTGATAATGAATTTCAACTTCCGAGGAGTTTATAAGAATGACCACAGAGCTGATTTGGAATGCAAATAAAGTAAGGGAGCAAAGCCTTCAAGTGGATACTTTATAAGGATTCAAGTTTTGTATTTTTTTCTTTTTCCTAAAACAGATCCTACTAATG